AGAGAGAGAAAGCCACTGAGGCTGCACACTAACAGTGAACCTGACATTTCATCGTTTCCACCAGATGAGAAACTGAGCTGGAGAGTGAATCCAGCTGTGAAAGACCATACTCTGACCCCCATCCTTAAGATTTTTATAATTATAAAAATATAAAAAACTCAAACGTAAACCCTGCTCAGAGTTGGTAACATCACATTCGGACTCATTAGACCCCAGCCCTTCCCTTGGTAATCTTACATTCGTCTGCTCCATATGTGATCACACAGAGCAGGACTTGAATTCAGCCCGTGGCAATCCAGAAGAAACCAGTTCTTCACAGGCCAGTGGTGCCAAGGCAGCTAGCCACATGCTGTGCTGGGCACTTCTCGGCTCTCACTAATGCTTTTGGTGTGGGCATGTTGTATTGTTCATGTGCACGCATGCGTGTGCTCGGCTGTGCAGGGGCTTAGCTTTCCTTGATGGCCTCGATTATTTTGAGACAGCGTCCCAGGGATTCTGAAGCTCATCGACTCAGCTAGGCTAGCTGGCCAAGGAGCCTCGGGGATCTGCCTGTTTCCATACCACCCTCCTCCAGCAAGAGTTTTAGGGAGTTTAAAGAGTTTAAAAGCCTCCACCCCAGGCTTTTAAATATGGGTTCTTAGGATCCAAACTCAGGTGTGGGCAAGATTTTTTTTTTTTTATACCAGCTAAGCCATCTCCTTAGGCCGCTTGTTTCTTATTTTAACCAAGGTTGTAGTCTGCAGAAGAAAGTTGTACCTGCAGGACCAGCTGCAATGGCTTCTAGGAAAGGCCAAGATATTTTGCATGCCTGCTAGGAAAGCCCACTTTAATAACTGGTTGCTTGTATTTTCACAGGATTTCATTCGGTTAACAGAACTGTTCTTGTCCGGTTCTTATGTGAGGCAGGATGGGGCATGAGATAGCACAGCCCTGGAACTGGAAAATGGGAGATTCTGCTAAAGAGCCCAGGTACCTTCAGTCCCTCCAGCAGCTCACAGTCCACACAGATCTCGGCCAATTGAAATACTTAATCCTGTGTTACAGGCTCTAAGCCACCAGAAGCCATTATCAAGCATAAAATCTCAATGCTTCGTAATAACCTTCATTATGCACTCGGAGCCAGGCAAAGACGAGCTAAGGCCTTGGAGGTGGCCACAGGTAAGAAAGAGCATTGCTGGGCTGGAGCATGGTCCTCAGTGACCCGAATCAGCGAGCTTCTGGCATTCAAAGATCACAGGAGAAGAGCTCTGGGAGCAAGTGACTGTTTTCATTTGCTCAGTGCATTTGAGAAAATGTAGCTTTTACCAGTGACCCTGACACTGCCACTTCAGGGCCCCCAGCCTAATTGAGGGTGTGCTAATGAGTTATTCTAATAAAGACCTGGATAAATTTAAGACTGGGGCAACTGACACTCAAATTTTATTTTATTTTTAGATTCATTTTTGTTTCATGGGTATAAGTGTTTGTTCACATGTATGCACATACACCATGTATGAGATCAAAGACAGGCATGTAGCCCCAGAACTGGAGTTACAAAAGGTTATATGTGGCCATGTGAGTGCTGGCAACACAACCCAGATCCCTCTACAAGAACAGCAAGTGCTCCTAACTGCAGAGCTATCTCTCCAACCCCCTGGTATTCAATATTTAATGGAAAGATGATAGGTGATGTCTGTGGTGTGCTTTGCCCTGGCCTGAGCTGTTCGGCCCACTGTAGGCAGACAGATAACACTTCAAGGGGGCTTAAGAGGGCAGATGATGTGGAAGGAGGCACCGAGGGCCAGTGCTAGAACCCAGATGATCCACGAGGTGGACAACAGCCAGCTTTCACAGTTTACAAATTATAGTAATAAAAAATCTTTATTTTGGAAAATTTCAAACATAACCAAAGTAGAAAGAAAAATATTAAGAACTTTCACATATTTCTCATTCCGAATTAATTATTACAATGGTGGATCTTGGTTTCTGATAGCCTTAATCCCACCTCCAACCTTTCTAGACTATCCAGAAGTAAATTCTAGTTACCAAAATTGTATTTGCAAACATTTTAGTCTACAGCTTAGGTCCTATAAAACCTCACACTCATGATCTCATTAGTATGACTAAAACAGAAGTTTTCCGACATCAAATGCTTTTTGTTAAATTTCCAGTTCCTTCATAAGAGTTAGGAGGGCTTTGGAATTTAAAAAATGATATCACACCAGAAATATGCCTAAGGAAATAAACCCTCATGCTGCAGTGAGTCATAGCACTGTGTGGGGCCTGGTAGCGCACACCTGCAGTCCCCCGAAGCCTGGGCTGTGTGGAGAGATGTTATCTCCAAAACTGCAGCAGCAACAGCAGCAGATGAGAAAGGCAAACTGAGGTTCAGATCACCGGTGCCACTCGCTTTTCAGATAAACAGGGGGGTATCCCTAGTTCCTGACTCCAGGGAACCTTTCTCTCCTTGCTTTGCTCCCGGTGTGCCTGATTAAGTATGTGGCAAACTCTCATTGTTTATAGGTATGAATACCTCAACATAAGCTCACTTAAAATAATACGTAAAGAAACAGGGTTCTTATAAAATTACCACTTAAAATGATAATAATTTCATTTATTCTTTGAGAATTTCATACTGTGTATAATATAGACAAGTATGTTCTTACCCCTTCACGGTCCCCTTCTATACCCCTTCCCAACTTCATATCCTTTTCAAAAATAACCTGCTGAGTCTAAATAATGCTGTGCATATGCACAGGACTGGTATTCAACCAACCAACCAACCAACCAACCAAACAAACAAACAAACAAATCTCAAAATGTGAGAAAAGGCCTCACTATGTGGCTCAGGCTGTCTTGGACTCACAATCTCCCCCCAGCATGCCCAGGGCTGGGATTACAGGCGTGTGCTCAGAACACAGGGCTCAGAATTTAAAATTTGTAAGTGTAGAACAATCACTTGAGAACACAGATTTGAAAGTCACAGAATTCCACAGAGAGCGGCGATTCTCTTTCTTAGTGCTACCCTCTTGTTGGGACATCCATGAATCCTGCTCGCTGAACAGCAGTAAACCATACCAGAGGACAATTTGTGGGAGTCACTTCCCTCTCTCCACCATGTGGGTTCTGGGGATCACACTCAGGTCCCCATGTGAGCTGGCTCAGGAGCCGGCTTAAAACCGGCTTCTGCTTTCTAAGAGGAGTAGCTTAAGGAGGGCATGGAGCACCACCCTAGCAGGACATGGAGCACCACCCTAGCAGGACATAACACAGTTTGCTTTGTCTTCGGAATGCCAATATTCATAACAGTGAGGTGTCACTCAGGAGATCTTCATATACACATCAGAAAGTGATGATTAGCATATACCATAAACGCTTCTAGTATCTTTTTAAATTTTTTTATGTGTATGGGGGTTTCCTTGCAGGTATGTCTGTGCAGCACCTATGTGCCAGGTGCCTGAGGAGGTCAGAAAGAGGTGTTGGATCTCCTGCCACAGGAGTTACAGATGGTTGTGAACTGCCACATGAGTGCTGGGAACCGAACTGGGGTCCTTTGGAAGAGCTGTCAGTGCTCTTTGGCCCCTTTTCTAGTCTCTTATCACAAAAGATGTCATCTTCTAAGGGTCATTATTATTTTCTGGCCTGATATTCCTACTAAACATCAGTGTTTAAAAAAATGTGACTTCTTTTGTGGGGATGAGACTCGTCAGGCAGGGCCTCACTATGTCACTCAGGCTGCCCTGGACCTCAGTCCTTCTGTTCCAGCCTCCCAAGTGAGTGCGGGGATTTCAGATGTGTGCCAGCATCCTTGGCTCAGGCCAGCACCCCCGGCTCAGGCCAGCACCCCTGAGCTTTTGCTTTGCTCAGGGGTGAGTTTTACCTTTATAGACGACGGGTCTGTAATTTTTTGAGAGACAGCAATATCAACCAAAGAAATAAACAAACAAAATCCAACCAATAACTAAAATTCCAACCCCTCCCGCCCACCTCCTGACTTACTGACAGCTGTCTCTTTAGAGAAAGGCGGATGAGTTCAGGGAACCTGTTCTGAATGCAGGGGCTCACAGGGTAACAGGTCACAAATCGTCAAAACAAAAGCAACAGCAAAGAAAGTCTCCTCGCAGCATCACCTCTCAGTAAAGTCACTCATGAGACAGACAGAATCGGGCTCTGCCAGGGGTGGGCCTGCAGGAACAATCAACTCTCTTGGTTTCATCTGACAGGAGTTTACTATCTACCTGGTGAGCTAACTAGAAACATTTCACAGTGGCCTTACACAGGAGCTGGGATTTTATGGCAATTAATAAAATACTGAAAAAAGCAAGTTCCATGGAGAACATGAACAAAGACTACTCTGCGATTTCTGAATTTTGCAGAGTAATCCCATATATGAACACAATCTGTAGTTGGTTTGCCCTGTAGCTAAACGAAAGCTGTCAAAGGCACACGATCATATGCAGAGGAAGGAACCGGCTGAGAACTGAGTGCAAAGGGCAGGGGCTACCAAGGCGTGTCCATAACCACCTTAGCTTCCTGGAAAGCCCTGTTTCCTGATTCAGACCCAGCCAGTTTTCTGCTAACAGCTTGTCAGGACACAGGGCTGCTACCACCACACTGGAGGTCACATCTGTGTGGTGCTGCTGTGGCTGTCATAGATTTTAATCCCCCAAATCTCTCAAATTAACATGCCTAGTAGGCATCTAATTAAAGATTAAGTGTGTCAATTTGAATTTTTATTGTTATTTGGTAGAAGAATTTAATACATTCTAAAATATACTTTTCTCATTTAAAATTATTTTTCATTTTTTTATCATATTTTGTTTTAATTTTTTTGCTAAATAATAGGTTTAAAAAAGGTAAATGAAAAGAACCAATTTAAAAAGAACACAGTTATGCAGTATGTAAAGTTAAAATCAACAGTAATGAGCAGCGGGGTCAGGAACGCTCGCAGCAGCAACAACACACTCAAGGGCAGCTGCGCCCTTCTTTCTCAGTCTGCTACCAGTTCCAGGGCCACTCACCAGGGTTGCAGTCTGTGAGGAGTGAGCAGATGGACAGGAGGACTTTCGAGATGGTCAGGGCTGGGCTCCAGTTGTCCTTGAGGATGTCCAGACAGATCACCCCTTGGCTGTTGATATTACAGTGGTAGATTCTCGTTCGGAAGGTGACCTGGGAGAAAATACAAAGTCGCTGTGAGTGGAGATGCAGTAATTAGAAGTCACTTTTTTTTTTTAAATTAGGTACATGATAATAATCAATATATTAAAAATAGAGTTATTTCACATCAGAAAACAACACTCCTAGCAGAATCAGGACACGGCTTCTGGGTGTGGCTGAGGACTTCAAACTTGGTGTGTTTATGAGCAGAAATGAGCTCTGACCCCTGAAATATTTTTAAAAACTTCTGGTGGATTCTAGTTGCTTTACATTTAGAAGATCCAAAACACCAGAAAGCTTGGGAATAATACAACAAAGATAAATGTCCTTTAATACTGTTTTAAACATGGATGAGGGCATGTAAGCATATCACGTGCCTCTTATACAACTGTGTGTTAAACATGGATGAGGGCATGTAAGCATATCACATGCCTCTTATACAACTGTGTGTTAAAACTGCATTTGTTATAATTATCTTACCATATTGTTACAATTTACAAACCTACTCCTTATTAAATTTTATATTTTGAGTGTACAGTCTTTTCCTATGAGAGTCACCATTAAACTTGACTTAAATATAATTTGGAAAGTTATAACAAAAAATATTCTAGGTGACTCAGTGGGTAAGAGTACCTTTGTTCCTACAGAGGCCCCAGGCTTGGTTCCCAGCACTGACTGGCATGGTGACTGACAACTGCTGGCAACTATGGTTCTAGAGGATCCCATGCTCTCTTTTGGTCTCCAGGGCACCAGGCACACACATGCTACACATATATGTATGTGCACACAACACTTATACGTATAAAGTAAAATAAAAACCTTAAAAAACCTTTAATATTGACAACAAGTCCAGCTCAGTTTTGGTTAAGCAATATCAATATTTAAATGCTACTTATTATGACTGTAAATTTGTAAATGTTCTCAAATTTATAAATAAATCTTGGTGTTCTAGAGACTAGTCTGGTACCCTGAATTTATAATCACTAAGAACAGGAAAAACACCCATGAGAGGGAGGCCGCTGTAGGGCCTGGCACACAAACAGGCATCCAGCATCCGTTCAGACACCAGAAGCTGATGTAAGTTGTAAGCAGCCACATTCCAGGAGGGCAGAGTCAATGTGTCAAAGGTTGTTGAACGCCATACCCCATTCTCAGGTAGGATCAGAATCCAGCATCACTCCAGACCACTCTCAACCTCTCTCCCCACATAGATCTTAAATGTCCAGAGACCTTGAGGAAAGTAGAACCAACCTTCTTCAAAATGCACAGCAGAATCAGCTAGGAGAATTCCTGGAGGCCACAGCTAAAATCCCAAACCTACATTAGACAAGTGGGCCGTGTGTGTGCTGGGGCAGGTTTGGGGACAAGGAAGGGCTGAAGGGTGGAAGGCAGCCTTAACAAAATGAAAGCTTTGATTTCTGATAACCTTCATGGAGAAGGCAGATGAGCTTGTAGGCCTGTATGTGGCCGGGGGTTTGAAACCAGAGCCTGCACCTCAATCAGGACACTCAGTGGCTCATGTACAGGAAGTGTGTGCCTTAGAGGAGACGGTGAGGCACCTGATAGTGAAAGCGAAGCAGGAATTCTCACTACAAACAGATTCATCACACACACAAAATGCCAACCAAGAGCTGACATGATTTTGTGACTACTGGTGTAAGTACAGACCAGGGGGCTGATGTAACTGGGGAACACTGTATTATGAAAGAATGCACCAGGAAAACATCAATTTGAAATTGGCTGTAGCTAAATAGCCAAAAATTATACAGTAAAAACTGGCAGATCAATGAGAAAATGGTGTATTTATAATCAAGGAGGAATGCATCACCATGTAACTGCTAGGTCAGCCAGGCCATGTGCTGGCAAGAGCCTGAAAATTTAAACCACAAACAAAATCAAGGACTGAATGGTTACAAACATTACATTTGACAACTAAAGAGTATATATTCATGTCAATCATGTATGAAACACCTACAAACACTGGCTACATGCTGAGGCACAGAGCAAACCTATGGCTATGAAAACCATAATGAAAGATCAGAATCAACACAGGAAAGAGCCCCCTCTGCCTCTCAGTCATCTTTGGAAATTGAAAAACACATCTGCAAATAATTCCCTTTTGTTGTTTCTTTCTGTTTTTATTTTTCAAGATAGACTCTAGCTATGTAGCCCAGGCTGGCCCCAAACTATTGGTCCACATGCTCCCACATGCTGTGATTACAAGGTGCACCATGTGCACCATCAAGACCAGATGCAAATAATTCTTTGATTAAAACCAAACCAAACCCAACCCCACAAGACTCAGCTAAATGACAACGCAGAGGTTGAGCTGCCAATATAAAAATCTGTCTCTAGCCAAAACAACAGTCAAATAGACATGACCATAAAATATATATTTTAAATGTTTATATTACAAAGTGAAAGACTCACTGAAAAATGAGCCAAGTGTCTGACCTAGAAAACTGAATGAGGGGATAAACAGCTTGAAAGAAGAAAGAGATGAACATAGTGAATACAAACACTCATCATGACAATGTCTCAGAGAAGCCAGATTGCTCAGCCCCAAGTGCTAAATGAACAGACTGAATGGTTTTTGACAATTCATTGTAAAGAAGAGTGGCTCATGCATGTGTGACATGGAAAACCCCCATCAAGTATTAACCACAGAGTTAATTCTCAAAACAACTCAGCGATGAGAGCGTCAAAGTTCAGGAAACTGAGTCTGGTGCTATGCCATGAAGCCTTGGCGCTCCTGCCCTTTCTCCAATACTTCACCTTTAATTCTGGGATACTTGTAAATTCTGCTGTAAGAAAGAACACTCAGAGACCACATGCATTCTTAGTCCAGTTTCTATTATGGCAGTATGTCTCAGAAGTATCATATACTGCAGAAACATATTTCCTGGATCTTAATTTTCTATCTTATGTTTACATTTTATTTTATGTTTACATTTATTTCTATGTGTATGTATGTGTATACTGTCAGGATACAGAAGGATCCCATCACAAATACTATCTTTTGAAAATTTACTTGTTGACAATTTCATAATTCATATACTATATCTATATCCTATCCCCTCCTGCTCTCCTCTGGACACTTCCCAAAACATCTCCCACCCACATTCAGGCGCTGTCTTTTTTCTCTTGTCGCCCACTGAGTGCAACGTCAGCAGCCTGATGGAGTGCTGTCTTGTGGTGTTGACTGTGCTGGTCTTGTTCAAGGGTGCAACTGCACATTATACGCAGAAGACAGCATCTCACAGCACCTCCCCACATCCTCTGTCTCTTGCATTCTTTCCACCCCATCTTCCTCCATGTTCCGGAAGACCTGGGGATGTTGATACTATGTACAACTTTTGACCTGCATAACTGTCTTCTCTTAGTTCTTTAGCTCCTGGCTACCACAGCTGTTTCTTGTGGCAAGAATGCTTCAACAGCCAGGCAGTGGTGGTACACCTTTAATCCCAGCATTCAGGGGCGGTTCTCTGTGAGTTTTAGGACAGCCTGGTCTACAAGAGCTAGTTTCAGGACAGGCTCCAAAGCTACAGAGAAACCCTGTCTCGAAAAATCAAACAAACAAACAAACAAAAAAAAAAAAAAAGAAGAAGAAGAAGACGACGACAACGAAGAAGAAGAGAGAAGAAAGAAATTCAACCATGGAATTGTGCACTACTAAACCTTTCAAACTGCTCCTTTCACTCAATACCAGTAATTTATTCTCTGATGCTCAGCAGTATTTTATGGCATGGATGTGTCAGTCTGTCACTGTTCTATTGCGTGAAGAGACACCATGACCACGGCAACTCATAAAGGAAAGCACTTAATTGGAGGCTTGCTTTTAGTTTCAGAGGGTTAGTCCATTATCATTATGACAGACAGGCAGGGCACTGGAGCACTGACTAAGAGCTTTATATACCAATTTGGAGGCAGAATGCCTGGCACGGGCTTTTGAAACCTCAAAGCTCACCCCCAGAGACACACTGCATCCAACAAGGCCACACCTCCTAATCCTTCCAACCTCATAAATGGGCACTAAGAATGCAAATATACAAGCCTATGGAGGCCGTGCTAATTCAAGCCACTTTCTAAGTAAAGGACATCTGGGTTTTCCAAAGACAAAAATAAAACAATAAAAAGCAAAGAAAATCCCTCTTTTTTTCCCTACTCTTATACACAATGCAGAATATTTTTATTATTACACGTGGGGTGGGAATTACCTGCCAATAACATTTATTTGACACCAGCTGGGCTAATTCGACAACTATCCTCAGAAGGCAGTCAGGTCCCGCAGCCTAAAGAATCAGTTCTTTAGAGGGCTGCCACCTCCTACCTCAGACATCACTCTCTAGTCTGGGCCTGTGGAATTTCTGACCAATGGCCTGCAGCTGATCTGCCTCAGCCCCTCCCCTGCATCCACTCACCGGTGTCTTGTACTCTAATACGTCTGTACCCACATCCCAGCTCTGTCCTAAACATCACAGAGGACGCACAGGGTGTGTAGAAGGAGGGGTGGTACTCCTTGGTACACCCACCTCCATGGACGCTCCTGAGCCCTGATGGCTGGGGTTTACTGCCTGGCCATGTTTGATTACATCACTGGCCAATACCTAGACTTAGGAGACACTGGCATACTCTGGGTTTTGGCTATCACAAACAAAGCTGTTAGGAACATCTCTCTCTCTGGGATAAACATCTAAGAGCACATGTAACTGGTGGGTCAGCTGGATGACCGGCAATACCATTTACAACCCCAATGGCTTTGGGATGCAGCTTTTCTACACGATGCCAGCATCGGGTGCCTCCCTTTGCTTGTTTTAGAGCACCCTGCTTGGGTATGGGGGTTTCAGTTTGCATATCCCTGGCTGATGAGGCTGTACACCATGCGCTCCTGTACCATATGGGGAACCTTTATGCTCTGCTCTCTTTTCTACCTAAAGGATGTTTGAGTATTGTTGCTTTTTTACTAATGACTCTAATGGTATCTTGTTGGTGGTTGCTTTTTAGAGACAAGG